GCCAGTAAGTTTGTATGATACTTGATATCTATCTGTCCATCCATCCATCCATCCATCCATCCATCCATCTATCTATCTATCTATCTATCTATCTATCTAGGTTTGGTGTTTTAAAATAATATTTTTTCCTCTGTATTTTGAAACTATGTTTTAGTTTTTAGTGTTTTATATTTAACACAATAATAAATTGTGCTTTACATTTACCTATAAACCGTTGCAGAGTTTCAGTCAGCTGTATTTGATACCATTAAACTATATTTAAAATGTTCTTACTTTGACTTAGGTATTGGTTGTGTTCAATCCTGTTTCACTCTAGGCAGCGGTGGAGTGGTTTTTTTGATTGAGTTTCCTTTGGGAAGTTAGACTTTATGCTGAGTTCTTACAGCACTTGGATAATGCTGCTAGTCTTCCCTCTCTATATATCTTATCAAAAGTTGTTGTGACTTTTGAAATGCAACTGATAGCACTATATTTTAATGCTGTGTTTTCTCAAAATTGTCTATTGTTCTAATATGGACTCATGAAAAGATCACAAAGCATGAGAGGGGGGAAGCTTGGATATGTGTATAGACAGCTGGAGGCCATGCATGATCAGAGGCCATTCTGCTCACAGTGGTCTTTGTTCACCCCTGTCTGTTGGACTCCATTTACTCTAGAAAATAAAGTTTTGCCTGATACTTACAGATAAGTAGGCTCTTGCTGTTACACAACCTTGCTTTCTTGGCTCTTAAATTCCTTGTCACTGCTGCAGAGTGAGTCACTGAATGGGAGTGTATCCATTTGCCTGTATTTGAGTTAGTTTTGGTTGTTAGGAATGGCTGTCTTGCCAGGCAGTGGTGGCGCACACCTTTAATCCCAGCACTTGGGAGGCAGAGGCAGTCGGATTTCTGAGTTTGAGAGTTCGAGGCTAGCCTGGTCTACAGAGTGAGTTCTAGGACAGCCAGGGCTACTCAGAGAAACCCTGTCTCGAAAAAACAAAAAAAAAAAAAGGAATTTCTGTCTTGCACATTACTGAGTTGAGATTACTGATCTTTGGGAGAGAAACTTCTCTTGCTGGTATACACCAAATGCTGTCACTGCTGGGTGACAATTCTCTTATTTGGATATTGTGCATTTTCCATTTGGGGAATTCTTTTGTAAGTATTTTGTCCCATAGTTTGTTTCATTACTGGTTTGTAAGGTTCATCTTCCATTCTTGTGTTTGTATTTAGCTATGTGCACTCCAAAATTTCTCCTGTTGTGGCAGTTCTGGCTGGTCTGAAACTAGGTCTGTAGACCTAGACTGGCTTTGAATTCAGAGAAATTCTTTACTCTCTGCATCCTGAATGCCTGGCCAAGGTCTTAATTCTACTCATGTTGAGTATGTCCAGGTCAGAGTCAGTCCTAAACAACATTTTGTGTCATTAATGGGATATTTTTGCTTAATTTGTATAGGTTCGGTTTTCCAATTTGGTAGCAGCACTACAAATTTCAACTTCACAAACAATAATCCATCAGGAGTGTTCACATTTGGTGCAAGTCCCAGCACACCTGCAGCCTCAGCCCAGCCCTCAGGTTCAGGGGCCTTTTCATTCAGCCAGTCTCCAGCATCATTTACAGTGGGGTAAGATTATTTTCTTGAGAATTTACATTAGTAAAGGTGTGTATCTGTCTTTCTAAAAGTAAATCAGGATGCAGTAATAACTTTTGGGTAATGTATTACCCAGTATCAGTTTATGACATTGTAAATTGGGGGGGGGGATTATATTCTGAGACAAAACCAGCAAGTTATAATAACATTTTCCTCTTTCTCCTCCCCAGTTTGTTGCTGGTCATTTTAAACGGTATGAGTCCTCTGTTTGTCTGGGGCATTGTGTCACATTGTAATATTTTTATTTTTTCACAGGTCAAATGGGAAAAATATGTTCTCTTCTTCCGGAACTTCAGTTTCTGGTCGCAAGATAAAGACTGCTGTTAGACGCAAGAAATAAAGGTCACAAAGGTGTTATACCCAACAGTTTTATCAACAGCTGGTGCCCTGCTTTCAGATTCTGGATTGTACTACATGCTGGGCTTATCTGAAGTCAGATCTGCCTAAGGACTTCTTTAATTTTGGAGTTGTCCTCTTTTTTTCTTTATGGAAATCCCGTCGCCATAACCCATTCTCTTTTGAAAATAGCTAGACTAGTGACTGACTGATTCTTCAGCAGAAACATTTTATGATCCAGCACATTATTCACTGATTGGCATAGTCTGGCTGTACCCAGGAATAGAGCCTGCACGGTGAATGGCTTTGTATAGAACCTGTCTGCACCGCTATGTGCATTGATAAAGCGTTAACGGAGCGCGTTGAATTTGTAATTATATCTGGGGAATTCTGTATAGATTAGAATCCTGTATAGATTAGAGGACGTTGAAATGAATGATTTCTATGCGGAGTTTGTGGTGGTGTATGTGTGAAGTGAGTAAGTTGGATGTATTGTGCACAGAAAAATTCTGATAGAGAAAGCCTGATTAAAGAATGGTCCATCCTAAGGACTTGTTAGATCTAGTTCATTCTCCACTTAATAAGTATATGCTATTTCTATATTTTCATTCTATCGACTGTCTTGCCTTTTTCATTATTTTATTATGAGACTTCTGTAAATATAATTTTGTTTCTGTACTTTTTTGGCATAACATAAATCTGTGAACTTGAAATTTTAATTTTATGTTAGACATATTTTTGTTGTTTGTTTAGTCTTGTCTCAGATTTTATTATGTAAATCCCATTATTCAAAGTTGCCTAAATCCATTTGGAAATCTTTAAAAAAAAATTGGGGATTCTTAAAGTTGAATTTATTGGCTTTTCTGATCCAGTTTTGTTTGGACCAAAAACCAGTATTGTACAAAGTATTAAGCATATATTTTTATATTTACTGAAATGGACTGTGGTGACTTTGGATAATAAGGAAAAAGTTTAATATTAAAGCCATGTTTATTACAGTATAATTAACATGTTAAACCATGGGATAAATGCCATCAATAAAACTTTATGAAGCAAGTTTTGTTAACAGTTTTCATAGTGAAGGCACACAATATTAATGGGGAGGGTGGTTGATTAGAAACCACAAAGGGTATGTATTAGGTAAGGCCCAAGAGTTACTGGAGTTTGCAGAACACAGAAGAGCCCCTCCTTTCTGCTTGATGCTGTCTTTACTTAATTTGCACGTATATTTTCCCTTTAAATTTTGAAAATAAACGTACAACCTTTTCTGTTTGTACTTCTAGCTTCCTTGCTAGATGCCTAGACAATGCTTCTTGCTTACATTCTTGGAGATAATATGCCTTAGGCACTCCAACAGTTGATAAAACTAATGGGCCTTTTACTACATTACTTGTATGACTAGACTTTCAGCTCACTTAAGGTCCAGGAAAGAACTTGGAGCAACACTTTATACTTTTGTCCTTAAATTAGGATTGGCATTTGTTAGTGTTTAATTTACCAACTTCAGGCTGGTTGAATTTACATTGAGAATTTCTAGTGCTTTGTCCTTATGAAAAGATGTTTTTCTTATTAAGCTATCTTAGGCTGTCATCACATTGATTTGTGGGTAGAGCTTTTTGTGTTTCTAATATTTTATTTAATAATATATACCTGACACTTAGCCTGTTTGGAGTCTGGTGAATGCTGGAAACCTGTCTTACCCACCTTGTCGGACAGTCAGTCCTTAGCCATTTTCTATGTCCAAATAATTGGGGCTTATTAAGGCATATGCCTTTTCTGTAAAATATTTAGAAAATATTGCTTCATTTTAGTATTCCTTTGTGTGTCCCCCTGTGTTTAGAGTAGGTTACTACAGTTATACTAGTGCTGGTTTATATTAAAATTAGGGATCTTTTGGTTCTCCAGAGTCTGTAAGACTATTCAGATTTGGAGACTTGATTCTTGCGTGTACTTCTAGCTTCCTTGCTAGGTGTGTGTGTGGCTTTCCAGTATGGTGGCAGCTCCATCTCTGGGCCTATCCTTGTTCAAGCCCAGCAGAGGTAACTCTTCATTGGATTGAGTGGGCTTGAGAGTGCTTATTAGTGGAATGTATAAATGTATGTTCTAGGACATATCCTCAGAGATGGACAGACTAGCTTTGGATAGCACACAAGACTGCAGCATTAAAGCTGCCTCAAGTCACTTAATGCTGTCAGGTCTGGGAATGTGATTTTAAGCATTAAGTGATAGGTTGGTTGTAGCAATTACAATATCAGGCCTTAAGGAAAAAGTATAATTCAGACAGCTAAATGTCTTTTTATTTTGTTGCAAATGATCAAAGTTCATTAATGTAAATTTTTAACAGTAAAGATTTAGCCCGAGAAGAACGTGTTTTCATAGTTAGCATATCCTTCCCAGAGCTGGTATAAAACTTGAAATTCAACTGAAATCACTGAGGGTAAGAACTGATACTATACTTGATATTTTATACAGGGCAGCTTGTTTAATGGAAATTAATTTGCGGTAGTAACAGAGAAATAGGATGTTGTAGATCTTATAGATAGCAACTATATGACCAAGTTAGTCATAACCTCACTTCTTTGTAATCTGATGGAGTGGTGTCCCTCCCCCCCCCTTGACTTTTATTCCTCTAAAATCCACTGTAGGCCCCAAATATGTAGCTGGTAGCTTGGCTTAGACTAGTAAATTGTCCAGAGTAGCACTCAGATCAGGCTGCATTAAATAAAGTTAATTCCTAAAGATAGGATCTTGCACTAGTCCAGGCTGTCACTAAATTTACAGCAATATTCCTATGTCAGTTTCCTGAATTCTGGCTATCATAGTTAACATTACCACACTCACATCTGATACTGTTGTAATGGCTAACAGCTCTAAATAACATGAAGCTGAGCTCATATGCAGGTAACTTGTACTTAGGTATTTGGATAGTGCAGGGTTTTACATATGCTAGGCAAAGTGTTCTATCACTGAACCACTGCCCCAGCCCCGTTAAAGAACATACTGCTGTAGCTGTAGAAATAGGCAGACAACACTGTTGACATTGACATATTTATTGAGACACAAAATACAAACTGGTGACATGAAATATTAAAAATAGAATGCTGTTTTACTTATAAGTAGGTTAGTAGATACTGTTTGCAGGACAAGCCCTACTATAGTGAACTACAAGGAAATCTACACATACCAGCCAAAATGAGGAACTTCACCCAGGCACGAGTAAGGACTTTGGTCTTTGGTTATGCGGATGGAGGTTGGCAAAGGAGCTGAACCAGTACTTGTCAGAGTTTAGAAATACTGTTAATCTAGGCATCGTCTTTAAAGAGATAATGAGGAAGTGTAATGCCCCATCTTCCTTTAGAAGCCCAAGTTGCAAATGCAAAATTTCAACTCCTTTCCTTTGCCAGAAACAGGTGTGTAAATGAATCACTGATGTGAACATGTTCTTTTTAAAAGCTTGAAGACTCATTTTTGAGGCATGGGCAACTAGGTTAATGCTTTGTAGGCAGAATCAAGCAATGAACACTGTCAAGTAAGTGGCATGTGTTTATGTCATCATGCTGTTACCTAGAGTATAGAATATCCTACTTCCAAGATCTAGCCACCCTAGAACATTCTCAGTGATGAATACTGAGATTTCTCATTTCTGTTGTTTAGACTGAATGGCTATGCAGCAACAAGACCCCAGTCCTACGGCTCCAACGTAGGGCATGCTCATTAAAGAATGTCTTCATTTCTGAACAGGTTACAGCTTCAGCATGAGAATTACACTTTGACACAGGAAATTAGTATTCATTAGTACTTGTGTTCTATGAAGGAGGCTGGAAAAAATGTGCCAGATTCCCTTTTCTCCTTATAACAGATTGAGGTTCTATTGCAGAGGCAAAGCAATACTTTTATCTTACATCCTATATGGCACAACTTGAATCCACAGCTGGATCTAAAGAACTTGTCTAGCAAACTGGTATTTATAACAAATTTTAACTACTTGTTTATTTTACTGTATAAATAAAAATATCCTCAGTGAAAATCAGAGTAGAAACAAATACTCCAGAGCTGCGTGGGTGAAGCACACCAGCTTCTCAATTTGTAGTCTAAAGAGTTTGAAGAGCTTTAAAAATCTTGCCAGAGCCACAAGCCCATGCTCTATGTACTGCTCTTGACAAATAATAGGCTTTTTGTGAAGTTGTATTTTAAATAAAATTATTTTGAGAAACCATGGTTGATGAACAATGAGCTCTTAGGGGATTCTTAAAGTATCTGTAGACATTAAATGCATTTTCACAGTTTTAAATGTCAAAGAATAGCTTGCTGAAGGTTGATACAGTAATGACAACACCACATGGCTTGCTCTTGCTATTTAAAACACAGGAACAAAGACTGCTCTCTTGTGCAATACAATTTAGTGTTTCTTGAGAAAATCCTGTATGAGTAAGAAGTAAAGAAAACTAACATTTTGGTACAGTTAGCGACAAAAGCACACAGACATAAACCCAATGTTTCATCAACAAAGCAAAGTACAATGACAATAGACGAAGTTTTTGCCTTAACCCCCCCTCCAAATTTCATCTCTTAACAGGCTAAAATGAGCTTAAAGAAGCTAGAATCAAGTCTGAAGATGGTATGCTGCCTTGCTTTAGAGAGAACAATTCATAATAGGAAAACTGCTAATACTTCACAGGCTACTAGTATTTAAGTTATTCACAAAATACATTTTTTAACACCTTGATGTTTTGACAGTTGTGGAACTGTATAGAATACAGAAGTGTCTTAGGAATTTACTATACATAAATAGAATCTACAGGTACATTCAGAACACTGGAGCGCACATATGGGAATGTTTGGTGGATATTCCTCCTGCATATTTATAGTTGGATTTTAGGGCACATGAATTCTAAGCTGAGTTTACATGAAAATCCCTCCTCCCCCCACCCCCTCGAAGGCAATCACTAACTTACCTTTTTAAAATATCAATGATATGACTCAGTACATTTTCATCATCATCTTGCCTCCAAATACATAAGCAGTAAGAAGCTAGAATATCCCGCCACTACTGCAGCGAACTCTATAATATCCCAGAAGTGTGGGTGAGGGGACTCCTAGGCCTTCCTCACTAGCCCTTTTCTCCCAACACCTGTCATGAAGTAAGTGGGTTGTTAGTTGATGCTCTTTCTCAATGCTCACAAAAAGCAGCTTCCGTAAGAAGAGTTGTGGGAGTTCTGTAGGTGTTTATAAAACACAATTGGATATTTCTCAATCACTCTAAGATAAGCCAAAATTAAAATTTTAAAGTTTGATTTAGATAATTTAAAGTTGAAAATGCTTCCAGCAAATTTTGGTTATCTTAAAAGTTAAAGTATGTATTTGCCTATATTGATTATGAAACTATTTGCTTTGTTGTCCTATAAATATTTAACACTTAAATTTAATAGTTTTTCCGTCTGGAAAAGTTCCTTGACATTTAAGTACAGTCAACACTTTGAGAACAGTCCCCTGCATCACACCAGAGTGACTGCTTTAATTTTTAAATCATCAATGTAACCCAGAGATAATGATGGCCTTGATACATAATTTAGTCTTGTCATTATTCCTAAGAGTGGAATTCAGGGTTCTGGGGCATCATCTGACCCCATTTCTTTTTACCACAATGGTTCCTGCTACAATGTCATAGGCTGTTCGATTGTGCTGAAAAAACAGCAGTGTGATGAAAGCAGGGAAAAAAGAAGCAATAGAAAAATTCTTGATCAAAGCCCGTATGGTGGACCTAAAGGAAAACAAGCAGAAGTAGCAAGTCAGGCTGTATCAGTCATGGGTGACTAGGTATTTAGTTGATGTCTACAAAATTCAGAGCATGGTTCAATCTTTCCTGACATGTTTTAAAACAATATAGTTGAACTACCTGTTCTATTCTAAAGGAAGCTACATAGAAGACTAGAGCTTTGATATGTATGGCAGTTAGGAAACATCTAAGAACACCAATGAGGAAACAGCATAACCGTACCTTCTATTTTGTCAGAAGAAAAGAACATCTCTTTGCTTACCTTTTCCATAGTCATGGATTTCCATGGGTGTCTATAGAATCTTCTGAACTGAGTATGCTTACTGCAGTCCTACTTTCTATCTTACTGGAAGCATAATCAGTTCCTGTATGGGCTCTAGTAATTAAAAGTTAAGTCCTAAGAAGCTTTCAACAGTAGCTCAAAATAGAGAATTACCCTAACAATGTTAGATTCCTCCTGTCAGTGGCTAACTGTGTGGACTCTGAATCCAGACTGGATGGTTTCTAATTACTGGTTGTGCTCCATAACTGTGAAAGTGAGATCAAAATGCTATGTTAAGTTACTAAAGTGCCTGATATCTGAGACTAACCATCTTATTAAAAGAAATAGCCAGAATTAAAACACCAAAGTTGTAAGGCAATCTGCATGTGTCAGCAAAATCTAGCCTGCCTCTTGCTTTTATTTCCCCTGAATCATTCCTGTAACATTTATAGCTAATTCTATTTGATTGATCTGATCACTGTTCACTCACCTCTCCAATTTCCATCACTACTGCACCCTCAGTGGAGCTGCACGCCAAGGCCAGCAAAGAAGACTGCAGGCATTAGCTGGAGGCAGTGCACCACTGGATCGGGATTGTGGTATTTTTACAAAGTGGCTTGAGACCAGGTAGTCCACAGGGCCAGAGTATAAAGCTAGGCAGAGCACTGAGAACACCCAAATATTTTATCATTGTGACATATTTCATAAAAATCATTTTGAAAAGGTATATCAAAGGTAACAAGGGAAAGACAGGCTCATAAACTTCCATCTAAGTCGATAGGATTACAGTGTATGCTGAAGAACAATATTCTAAAACACTGTATCAGACCTGTAATTTTGGGCATATTGAACACAATCCTGTGCCACTTAATACAGGACTCATTCTGAGGAAATGTATGAAAGATCCCAAGAATGCAAAACTTAAGACACAGTAAAGTCAGCATGCAGCAGAAGATGCCAACTATAAACTTTTTGCAAGTATAAAGTAGATTAAGCTAAGGAAGGGACTTACGTTGTGATGCTAACATTTGAGGAGGGAATCACTAAAACCCGACTTGGAGCAATGAGTACTGATGTATCACAGGTCACAACTCGAAGCCCTAGCAGGAACTTTCCTGGGGTAGCTCCCCCTGCTCCCCAGATGCAAATTATCTAAGGAAAAAAATAATTGGAAAAGAATTTACTATGCCAATTTTAAAGAGTTTTAATGGTTTTTCTAATAAATTACTTCATGCTTTTTTAAGAATGACATGTTGGAGGACCAGGTATGGTGGCACACACCTTTCTTTAGTCTCAGCACTTGGGATTTCTGAGTTCAAAGTCAGCCTGGCATACACAGTGAGTTTCAAGCCAAACAGGGCTATTTAAAAAAAAAAAAAAGGTACATTGGAAGTGCTAGTTACATAGACTACTGGAAACCATTTAAGCTTGCTTAGCACATGCCAGCTCAGAACTCCAGAGACTGGAAAGATGACTGGCAAGTTTGAAATCAAGCCAGGCTATACATTATGAGGCCCTGTCTCAGCAAACAAAACACTAAGGCTGGATCTGGTAGCACAAAATGTGCCATCCCAACTACTGGGTAGGCTGAGATGCAAGAAGTCCAACTATTTTCAAGATCTGGCATCAGAACTCACTGAGATTCTCAAAAAAAAAGCTTGGATACAGCTCAAAGGGCTTGCTTGCTTACATACTTACATATGTTCATAATGTATATCTATGAACCAAAATCTGCTTATGAATATAATTTTATTTATAAAACTGAAATGTATAACAAGGCATCTTTTTTCCAAAATTTAGTATTTAGGGATTTTTTTTTACTTGAAAATGTTAATTTCGGCCGGGCGGTGGTGGCGCACGCCTTTAATCCCAGCACTTGGGAGGCAGAGGCAGGCGAATTTCTGAGTTCGAGGCCAGCCTGGTCTACAGAGTGAGCTCCAGGACAGCCCGGGCTATACAGAGAAACCCTGTCTCGAAAAACCAAAAAAAAAAAAAAAAGAAAATGTTAATTTCAAAAATTATGAAAAAACACAAATACAAAAATGATTAAGAAATTTGTAAATTGTCATTTTTTCTAGTAGATAATTTAAAATACCATTATTTGCTCCAGTCAGCAGCTTACCTCATAGAAACAAACTAACAACCTGTATATAAGTGCCACAATCATCATTTTCTGCAAGTCTTCCATTGATGTGTCTTCATCAATCTCTTCTATTATATAGTGCATGGCAAACTTAGAGATGTCCCTGCATAAAAAGAAGGGGTTGGGGTTATAAGGAATTAGTTCCTAGATCAGTTAGACCATTTTCCCATAATTAGGTCATAAAATTTAAATGAAATTCTAAGCTGTTAGGTTCTCACCAACAAAGTGCACAAAATACTAACTACTTTATTCAACAAATAGCAATTAAGTAAATAAAAGTAAATAAAACCAAAAGCATGGTTCTGATTGTGGGGTAGTTTGTAACTCAATGGTAGAGCACTGCAAATAAGATGCCAGCCCTGATGATATGAGAGTGACTGGTTTGTAAACTTAAAACAAGCTAGGATCATCTGGGAAACCTCAATTAAGAAAATGTCTTTATCAGAATGGCCTGTAGGCAAGTCTGTGTGGCATTTTCTTGATTCATTAATCAAGAAAATTATCAGATTTTACCTTGTCTGATAATTATTGATGTGGGAAGGGCCTAGCACATTGTGGGTGGTACCACCCCTGGGCTGGTGGTCCTGGGTGCTATAAGAAAAGCAGGCTAAGCAAGCCATGAAGAGCAGCATTCCTCCATGGCCTCTGAATCAGTTCTTGTCTCCAGGTTCCTGCCCTGACTTCCCTCAGTGATGGAGTACAAGCTGTAAGATGGAATAAACCCTTTCCTTTCAAAGTTGCTTTTGATCATGGTGTTTATCACTGTACAGCAAGGGGATACAAAGTCTCAGTTTTCACTGAGATACTAACCTAGCAAGAGAAATAGAACAAAAATAATCTGGGATGCCAACCAGCTACAGAAAACAGCCCAGTTATACTGACTCTTGTATAGCTTTCTCAGAAATGACATTTCTAAGTGCACATTACAATACAAAGAATGAAGAGAAGCGGCCAGAGCAAGAGGCGGGAAAAAGCTCCAGGCCGGAGAGAATGCCTTGGAGCAAGTGATAGAGCTCAATTTCACTGTGAGGAGACTGATGTCTAAAACCCAGGACACCTATATACCTATGTAGCATTCAGAGGGAGGCCCAGTGGATCTTGGGGACTTGATGGCCTGCCAGTTCAGCTGAAATGGCAAGCTCTAGGTTAAGTGAGAGACCCTACCTCAAAATAATACAGTAGAGAGAAGACACTCAAAGTAGTCCTCTTGGCTACACATAAACATTTAAAAGACAACAAATAAGGAAACATACAACTGGTAAAGATTTCATAGAGAAGTATTGGTGTTGGACATCCAGTTACTCATAAGCACGTACAGAAGTATGTGCTAAGTAGCAGCTCCAGAATTTTCTATGACTATTATTAACTTACTTTATTCCACTGAGATGCATGATACTCAAGACAATGGTTGCTTTTATAAAGAAGAGAATAAAGAAATCCACCATCTCTGCCATAAATCGATGGGCCAAGGATGGAATGACATACTCCCTACCTGTAAATTGGGAAGAAAAAAAAAATCACACAAGTTTAAGAACCAAGCCAGATAATGAAGGGGCAAAGTGAAGTCAAGGTCCAACCTAATTTTTAAAAATTACAGCTTTGCATCAGCCAACGGCAACGATCCCATCCCGAGAACATGTTTCTAAAATATCTGAGCTGGACATGGTGAGCTATGCCAGTAAGCCCAGCATTCCAGCCCCACACTCAGAAGAGTGGCTGCAAATTTTCCTACAGTTTGCTAAGACTCTAGTTACTACATAGAATCATTTACTAGATGATATTCAAGATTAGTAGGCTTGGGCCCAGTCAAAGCTCTCTACTCGATTTGGGACCATGTCAATCGCCTTTCAGTCTTTACAAAGCCCAAGTCTTGGTGATTTCTAGTATTCTAATCTCGACCCTCCAAGTGGGCTTACCACTTAAGTTCAGCTTTGGATCTGTCCAGAGCCTAGAGATTACCACGAGGATTGTTTCATAAGCATATGTCCCTACATACAAGGGCGGCTAGTGCCAGAAATATGGGAATCTACTGGTTGTGCCAGGTCTTAAAGGAAGAACAATCAGCATTGTCTTGAAGTACCGTTTTTAGAATTTAGGGCCTGGGCAAACTATAGCTGATGTATGTGTAAACTGTCAATGGCAGTAGCAGCCCCAGCTACGTATCTCAAGAGCAAGCATACTTGCCCAATGATAACTCCTTCAACAGGGGACCTAGCACAGGCCTGAAAGATCCTGTAGGCTGCATACAAGTCTTATTGCAAGTTTGAGGCTAGCCTGGCCTATATCTTGAGATAAGGTTAGTCTAGACCACAGGGTGAGATCCTTCCAAAATAATAGTGGTAGAAGTAGCAGTAATTTAAAAAAGGAACCCACCAGGAACCCTACACATAGGAAGCAGGTGAATATAATCCTCTACTCTATCCCTCCTACATCCCACCCACCCACGCCGACCTCGTTCTCACCAGCCTGCCTCCCGGTGTCGCTCGCCGTCCGTGCAGGGGCTGCAGAGCCCACCCTGGTCACAGGGGCCGCCCGGGCGGATGACTGCATGTGCGGGGCCCGGGCCGTCAGGCCCGCGACGGCTGTCGGGGTGGCGCCGCCTGTGGCCGCCCCCGGCCCAGGCCCCGCAGCGCTCAGGAAGTAGAAGGGGTTGTAGTACGCGAGCTGTGGCGGAGGCGGCGGCGGGGGCGGCGGCGGGGCGGCGGGCTGAGGGGCGGCGGGCGGCGGACCGCAGTAGGCGGGGAGGGCGGCCAGGCCGCTGTGCCAGGTGAGGTAGCCGCAGTAGGACTGCCAGAGCCATTCGTGCACCTGCCGCGAGTACTCGCGCGCGCTCAGCCGCCCCGGCCCGTCCGACGCCTCGCAGCCCCCCGGCTCCTGAGGCTCTGCGCCCGGCTCCCGGCGCTTCCGGAGCTCGCACTGCGGCTCCGGCTCGGAGACGGCCGAAGCGACGGTCGCGAGGGCCGGGGGCTGGGGGGCGGCGGCGGCGGGAGAGCCTGGCCCGGAAGGGACCGGCTCGTGGTCCCCGCCACTGCCGTCCTGCCCGGGAGGGCGGCTCCGGGCTTCCTCGGGCCCCTCTGCCATCGTCGCCCCGGAGGCACCCTCCGCGCTGCCTGTCACTGCGCCGTCGCCCGCCCTCCTCAGCCCCTCCCCAACCGCTCGGTCGCCACCACAGCAGCAGCGGGCGTCAACAATCCGCCGCCGGAAGCGGAAACCCCGCCTCTCTGGCGCGTCTGTCTTGGGGAGCCGGGTAGGCGGTGGTGTTGCTTTGTGAGTTGGTTCCTGGTTACGCGACGTCTCTGTTCTGTTCTGGTTCTGTTGTGCGTTTTAATCACAATTTGTGGCATATTCGGTAACGTAACGCATCGCAGCATGGCATAACAACGTGTGCGGTGCTGAGTACGTGTTCCTGGACACTGTGAACACACCCATTTAGGCTATATCTGCGAGGCATTCGGCATCACTCTTGAGAATTCTAATGAACTCCATTACCAAGGTCCCTAGAGAGGACCCTGTGGGATTAGGACGTGGCTGTCCCTTGTGAAACTGCATCTGACTCTCCAGAATTTCCAAGAGGGCCCAGTCCTCCAAGCACAGTGCCTGTTCTTTGCTTAGCTCCTTAGTCTGTGTATGGTTTCATCTTTTCATCCATATGCAGCCTCTCAGACATTGATATCTTGATACACTTGGCTATGTTAAATTAGTAAGTCCGTTAGGGGTAGTAGTGTGACTTTGTATTCCCAGGACTATATGAGGAATCTACACGAGGCAAATATTGTGAGAATACTTAACGATTATTGTGCTGGCTAATTTTTTGTCAACTTGATAGGTGCTAGATTTATCTGAGAGGCGGGAACCCCAATTGAGAAAATCTTATAAGAGATTGGGCTGTAGGGAAGCCTGTAGAACATTTTTAAAATTAGTGATTGATGTGGGAAGGCACGGCCCATTGTGGGTGGTACAACTGCAGACTGCTATTCTGGGTTCTATAAGAAGGAAGGCTGAGCAAGCCATGGAGGCAAGCCATGGGCTGTGTAGCAGCTCCTGCCTCTAGGTTCCTGGCCATTTGAGTTCTTGTCTTGACTTCCCTCAGTGATGGACTACAGTGTAGACTTGTAAGCCGAATAAACCCTTTCTTCCCCAACTTGCTTTTGGTCTTGGTGTTTACCACAGCAATAGCAACCCTGACTATGACAGTGATGTCCAGTAACAGTGACAGTAATGCCCAGAGTCAATCCTGTCTTTTCTCTGGGAGACAGAAAAGACATCACTTTTGCCCTTAAGAAACTAATCTGCTTCAAAGGAAAGTCTTCCGTGAAACACTTGAAAACCTATTCAAGATCATCTGTAGCAGCAGGAAACACAGCACAAGCTCACCAGCTGGGCAACCTGAGACACTCCTTTCAGAGCCTCAAAGACCTTTATTTAGATACATACCATATTCATTCATTCATTTGTTCATTAATTCATTCTCTCTCTCTCTCTCTCTCTCTCTCTCTCTCTCTCCTTTCTTCCATTCTTCCTTTCTTCTTTTTTTTTATTTTTATTTTTTTGAGACAGGGTTTTTCCATGTAGCTCTGGCTGTCCTGAAACTCATTCTATAGACCAGGCTGACCTCACACTCACAGAGATCTTCCTGTCTCTGTCTCCTGAGTACTGGGATTAAAGGCACATGCCACCACCACCAGGCTACAGCCCAGATTCTTAAACTGTGCTGAAAAAAATAATCATAATGAGTTAGTGTCAAAGTTAGGTTATTCCTAGGAGAAAGGACAGGCAATGGGGAGCAAGTGTGGTCATTAAGGAATACTGCACCTAAAGGCTTTACCACCAGCAGCAGGGGAGTGACTTAGGAAACCTGCCATTACTTTGTTAAAGCACTTGATCTATAAGGTTGAGAGAAAAATGTGTGGCTATAGAAGGGGCAATGCCTAGACACCAACTTCTCAAGACAAAGAAGATTTTATTAGCCCAGAGGGGACAACCAGGGGTTTGGGTGGGGTTGTCTCTGGATCAGGCAAAAACAGCAGTAGGTATCTCTGCAGGAGTGATTTTTTAAGAAGAAAAGGGGAAATCTGTGCTAGGGTGAGTTGTTAAGTCCTGAATGGACATATCAGTCAGTATAGCTGAATAATGAATTTTGATAGCTGGATCTTGGTGTTTTAGTCAGGCATAAAGAAGTAGCCTAATAAGGGAATGGACCTTGATGGCTATCTTTAGGAATGCAATCTAACGGGTTAGTAAAGGAGAGGGAAGGGGAGAGGGCAAGACCTACAGGTGCCATGTTTACAACACTTGGTCCAGTTAGAGAGCCCTTCAGTTATATTCATTTCCTTATGGAAAGAGGTTTTATACATATGTGAGAATTTAAGATGCTGTATGACTGTACTAGCAGACTTCTATATAAGAAAGAAACACATATAAGACAAAACCATGGATCATTCTGGCCTGATAGTACAGGCATGTACTTCCAGCTACTCAAGAGCCTGAGGTTAGGAGATCACAAACTCATGGCGAGCCCAGGCAACTTGCAGTTCACACACACACACACACACACACACACACACACACACACTGTGGTGATTTGGATATGCTTGGCCCAGGGAGTGACACTATTAGGAGGTGTGGCCTTGTTGGAGGAAATGTGTGATTATGGGGGTTGGGCTTTGGAGCCTCCTCCTAGCTGCCTGGGAGACAGTCTTCTCTTGGCTGCAGTTGGATAAAGATACAGAACTCTTCACGCCTTCTCCAGCTCCATGCCTGCCTGGATGCTGCCATGCCTCCAGCCATGATAATAATGGACTGAACCTCTGAACCTGTAAGCCAGCCCCAATTAAATGATGTCCTTATAAGAGTTGTTTTGGTCATGTTCACAGGAATGGAAACCCTAACTAAGATACACACACACACACACACACACACTAAATAAATAAATAAATAAATAAAGGTTAGTGACATAGCTCCTGAATATAGCTTACTAGCTAATCATATTAACTTTGTTGAGGGAGTATAATTTTCTGTGTACACTTTTTGTATAACGAAGTCCCCCAGACATTTGAGTCAAAACTCTCGTCTCTGTCAGTAGGAGACATGACAGTTCAGTAGGGAGTGGGAGGGGTTTTCTTCTTTCCTGTGTTCCTTTCATATGGCTCACCTCTGACAACTTAGTTTCAAAATCAATTTGGAGGAAAGATTTTGTTGTTGTTGCTTTGATTCCAGAGATCAGATTCAGTATCTCATGCATTCTAGGCAAATTGATTTTTAAATTTTTGTAATTGTACTTAATGTATAATAATAATCATTGTACATATAGAATGTATGTGTATGGTTGTGCGCGTGCTATGATGCAGATATGGAAGCCAGAGACAACTTCGTGGAGTCTGTTTTCTTCTTCTACCTTCACATGGGTTCCAGGGATCAAACTCATGTTTCCAGGATTAGGTAACAAGTTCCTTTATCCACTGAGCCACCTCTGTTAACCTTCTAGACAGATCCTGTTTCACTGAACCATACCTTCAGCTACTAAGACACTTTAATACTTAAATAAGCAGTCAGTGTGAGTTCGAGTATGGAGACAGGAACAGCAGGAAAGAATTTAAAAATGTCTAGAATGAGGGTGAAATATCGTGATTATTGGGAATATGGAATTTGTTTTGAATAGCTATGTTTTCATAGTATGTGGCACAATAAAGACATTAAGAAAATAACATAAGGCAACAAAAAGGAAAAATAATCCCCTCATATAAGTGAAGCCACATAACCAGAGAGTTAGAAACACAGTTTCAGAAAACCAGAAGGACCAAAGCAAATAGAACACACTGTACCTTAAGAGAGTGAACTGAAATCAAATATGAAATACCTTAAGTGAGAAGCTGCGCAGAAGGGCTGGAGACATGGCTCATACGTTAAGAGAGCTTTCTGCTCAGGTTTCAGAGCTGGAGTTTGAATCCAGCATCCATATGATAAACTGAGTTGTTGTCTTATGTACAGTTGAAAGCCCGCACTGAGGATGACGGAGACAAGGGGTTTGCTGGTTTACAGCCTAGCCCTCGAAACACAAGTTCCAAGTTGAGAGAGAAAGAGAGAGAGAGAGAGAGGGAGAGAGGGAAAGAGAGAGAGAGAGAGAGAGAGAGAGAGAGAGAGAGAGAGAGAGAGATCCTTGCGGGGCGCCGGCGCCACGCTTCAGGATTCTTCTGGCAGCATTTTTATTACAGCTCTTTTAGTGTTACAGCTCTCTTAGATGGTAGTGAGGCGAGGGACCCCAAGCCCCAAAAGCTTGTGGCTTATATAGCGCTTTAGGAGATGTGCCGCACACTCATTGGCTCTTATGATGTCGCCAAATTAGCATACTGGTTTTCGCGCCTTGCGCAGGCGCACATTCAAGCAAGGCTCGCAAGAAGAACCAGGAAGCAGGAAACCAGCGCCATCTTGCGATGGCGGACGCGGCTCCTAACAGATCCTGCCTCAAAGGAGTAAGGCAGAGAGTGATAGAGGAGAGCATAGGGTACCTTCCAGGCAAAAGACCCCCACACCAAGTAAAATAGTGTGTGTGTGAGGATCTTACGTGCATGTATGGCTGTGTACCTCATGTATGCCTGGTGCTCCTGGAGGTCAGAATCTGCATCAGATGCTCTGGAACTGAAGTTACGATGGATACTATGTGGGTACTGGGAATTGAGCCCCAGCCCTCCGCAAGTGCACCAAGTGCCCTTAAACTGCACAGACTCCTCTCCAGCCCCATTGTCCACTTTTTAATATCACGAGTTTTTTTGTTCTGAAAAACTGATTATAGCATGAGACTGAGTAACCCGGATGAGCTGTGGGCAATGTTAGAAGGCTGTCTGGTAAACATGGAACATTTAGTTACTTGTGGAACTGAGACTACATGGGTGTCAGTGCCAGTCAGCCGACAACCAAGAGCCCATGACTACACAGTGATTTGAACAGGGAGTCGGAAGGAATTCTAATGGGACTGAAGTAGAGGGGGCTTGGCTAGCAAAAGGCTGAGAGAAAATCAGAGCTTTCTGTAGAGCAGAATCTTTCCAGCTGGGAGAAGCTCGGAGAAGAAGCCTCAGTGTGAAGTGTTGTCGCGGTCTTCCTTGTATGCTCAAGTCTGAGTCCCAGCATGGATGATGGCCATTA